TTAATATTTTAAGTATTCTATCTATTTTATTTATTGAATTTTATTGTTTTATTTATATTTTGATATTGCTAGGGATGATGCAATGATCGGGGACCATTCTTAATTTCATTGTTCTTGTGACAATGACAATAAAGTTTCTGATTCTGATTCTGAGGAGCAGCTGACATAAGTATTTTGTCACCATTTCCATTTTTGGCTTATTCCTATTAATATAAAATCCAATTTTCATTAAAATGTTACCCTTTAGTGGTTGCAGATGGTTGTGGAGGACCTGAGCTTTGATGGCACAAAGCAATTTTAAAGCTTTTGAGCATCGATTAGGGCATGTCCATTGGGCGACAGTGAATTTCAATCCTTTGCCACAGCATAAAAAGTGATTACAACTCAATTATACATTTCCTGAGCTGTCAAAAATTTCACACAGTTGATCAGCATACAAGTCTTAAAATAATTATTTTACAATCCAAGATCAAGGCAACCAGTCACTGCTCATTTCATATGCACATTTTCAGTGGTAAAGGCATGATATATTGTTTTAGTAACTAGAAATTGGCCAGGCAAACACCACAGAGGCATCATACAGGAAATGCCATAATTATGTGTTTACCCCCTAATACTTGTATGTTATTTTGGTTTAAATTTGTTTGAATAGTTCAATTTGAAACACACAAACAGATGAACTGAATTTCATAATTTGATATTTGTGTATTGTAGTTTACAATAAACCAAAATGAAAGTCATTAAAGTCAATGTTTAGTATGTTTGTTGTGTGTAGTTAGTGTGTTGTGTAGTTGATTTTTTGTTTTTTGTTTTTTTTGTACGTCAGAACAATGAGGCGACTGCTGAATGTCACAGGTCCTGCTAAAAAGCCACCAAAGGCAGACTGCCGTGTAAACACAGTCTCCAGGTGGAAAACAGGACGTGTGATACTGTTAGGATGCCTGGGTTGTTGACCCAGAGTTTTGAGTTTATTATATTATTTATTATTTCTAGTCTTTGGTTTCTTTGTTAGAGTTCTGTCTTGTGGTTTATGTCTCTGTGTAATCCTTAGTTGCTGTCTCCCCGGTCGGCTATATCCCCGTGTCCAGTCAGTGTCTGTCCTGGTCCCACGTCTCTGTTCCCTCTGTTGTAGTGCCTGCCTGTGAGTGTGTCTGTAAGTTCAGTCTGTTTTATGTTTCCTGTTTTACTTTGAAAGTCTGTGTCTCATGTAAATGCGTCTGGTTGTGCTTCCTTTGTCTCGTTAGGCTTGATTTGACCCAGCGGTGTTTCCCTCCTGTTACTCATTCCCTGATTGCTCCCTCTGTGTATTTAAGCCCTGTGTTTCAGTTTGTCGGTGTTGTGATCTACCCTTATCTAGCTGTGTGTTCTGTTGGCGTAAGTTCACCTTGGAGTCTCAGTTTTGTTACTTTTTGGAGTTTAGCAATAAATTTGAGTTACTTTCTGTCTCCGGAGACGGCACTTTGGGTCCTTTTCCTGTCTGCACACAGCCGTTTCATAACAGATACACGCCCTGCAAGTATCAGGGTATTGATGTTCTCCTTTATCTTATCGTGGACAGAAATATTTTTTTTGAGTGGAACAAATAATTTGTGTGGCATCTTATTTGATGCAGAACACCTGATTGTTCTGTGAATAGTTTGAAATGCTTATAAAAAAATCCCGGCCTTGGATGCATTTTTAGGTAAATAGCTGCATATAGCTTTGTTTATTGCACAACTGTTACTAACTCAATTACTTTTTTGAAGAAGTAACAACTATAACTAATTACTTTTCCAAAGTAACTTGCCCAACACTGCTTATTTTGTCTTTATTAACCTTCTTGCGTGAAATAACCTACTCTTAAACAAACAACCAAATTTCAGCTGAAACAAACTGAATATTTGCTATCCTCGTTTGGAAAAAAAGGGGAGCAGCAATAATACTGATCAAAACACGAATAAGCTAATGTATTTTGTGTCTCCATGATCATATCAAAATGAGTGGTAATATTACAATTTAAGCCCATCTAGCTCCCAGACATCAATGTGGCAGTTAAGACACATGAGAGAAGCCTGACGAAGAATCATTATGTTCTTCCAAACGCATCTGTACGTAGAGAGGAGGCAGGTATCTCAAATGAAAGAATGAAAAGAAGTGGTATGTATGAAGATGGTCTGATAGACAACTTTATGCTCAGTTAATACATAACTACAACAATGTGAATTTGTCACTGGGGTGAAACAGCCTCAGAAACAAATAACTCTCATTTGTGTGTAGACATAGGCAGATGGGTAACCACTATTTAAACAAACACCACTACACCTCTGCGTTTAATATTTTCTGGACAGAAACCCTCACAACTTTTGCACAAATCTATCAAATGAATAAAATTTTGGTTACAAGGACAATTCTAAAGATAAATGTCACCGAATTCATTGTATCTAATCAAATTAAGATTCACAGGTTAGCCCACTGCTGAGTGCAAGAGTTTGTTTGCCTAAAACACAGACAGGCAGGTACCTCTTTCGTTTGTTGAGTTTTTCCTTTCTTCTTTGTGGGATTTGTCCTCCAGGTGTCCTCCTTGGTCTTTATCTTCAGCACACATCAGTCCAGTGTAGCTTTGTGGATCATTTTCAGAGACCATGACATTTATTTTTTCTAACAAATTTGCTACCTGTTTTTCATCCATCATATTTCTGTTACATGTGTGGAACCTTTTTTCATTAAACTCTGTGTTAGTTTTCAGCTCCTTTAATGCACTTTCACATGTTTCACCTGTTTCATGAGTCACCACTGTGATTAAATAAGAAAGTGCTCCAATCCCAAACGTTCTCTCTAACCACTGCACTCCTGAGCTGTACTGGCTGCTATGCAGAGTGTTGGGTAATAGTAAGACAAAGGCATGAACTCCCTGATTTAAAGGGATTTTCTTTGTTTGTAGACCGAGCATGTTAATGACACAGACATGTTGACCACACAGATTATACAGATTGGAGGAAAATGGTTCCACATTTGTTTGGTCGTCATGGTCAAGAAAAATGTTCTTTGGTCCGATCTCAGTGGAAGCTGGGTCACCAATTAGTACAAGTGTGAGATCGGGAGCCACTGAAGAAAAAGAACAACATGAACATGTTACAATACAGAAACCATTAAAATCACAGTCTGAATAATTGTTTTTCTTGACAGTAATTGGATATAAGAAGAAATTAAAGTAATTTCTATGTTTTTAGTTTATGCCTGTAGAAATTCTTAAAGATATCAGATTTCTGTCCTTCAGCTTCTCACCATCGTCTGCAAACTGGTGTTTTCTAGTAATTTAATGATTTTTCACACAGGTTAAACTTAAAACACACACATTCTAAAATGTTAAGTCAGTTTTTCCATTTTCTTATTACCTCTCTCAATGGTGTCAGATGGTTCAGATGCGTTTTCAGACTCTCCTCCTGTACTTTGATTGATATTCTCTGAAGGTTGAGTTTCGCCAGATTTATTTACTGGACCAGACTAAGAAAACAAATGATTTTTATATAAAATACAGCTCTCCAGTTCAGCAATCTTTACTGAGAATTGTTGGCCCCCAACCCTCACCCTCAAACAAAGGAACAAACATGCATCTAAAAAAATAAGTAAAAAATCAGCAACATATAGAGTTGTGCTTTAGGATTTTGCATATATTTTCTCAAGCTTTGTCAAGTTTTAATTAATTCTCTATCAAACAGGAAGTCAAACAAATTAAGTGCTTTTTGTATAGGGTGTGGCAGCAATTTTTCACACCAGCCTATAAATTAACGAAAGACAGACTTTTAATTCATTTGAAAGCCTGATGCTTAGCCTTGTCCACCCCAGCTGTAAAACTCAGAAAATAGTCTTACTTGTTATCATCTATCGTCCACCTGGGCCTTACACAGAGTTTCTGTCTGATTTCTCAGACTTTTTATCTGATTTAGTGCTCAGCTCACATAAAATAATTATTGTGGGTGATTTGATATGATCAACCTATCTCTAATAATCGGCTATGTACCACAGGCCTTCAAGCTGGCTGTAGTTAAACCTTTACTCAAAAAGCCATCTTTAGACCCAGCAGTCTTAGCTAATTATAGGCCAATCTCCAACCTTCCTTTCATATCAAAAATCCTTGAAAGAGTAGTTGTCAAACAGCTAACTGATCATCTGCAGAGGAATGGCTTATTTGAAGAGTTTCAGTCAGGTTCCAGAGCTCATCACAGCACAGAAACCGCTTTAGTGAAGGTTACAAATGATCTTCTTATGGCCTCTGACAGTGGACTCATCTCTGTGCTTGTCCTGCTAGACCTTAGTGCAGCGTTCGATACTGTCGACCATAATATCCTATTAGAGCGATTAGAACATGCTGTAGGTATTACAGGTACTGCGCTACAGTGGTTTGTATCATATCTATCTAATAGACTCCAATTTGTACATGTAAATGGAGAGTCCTCTTCACACACTGAGGTTAATTATGGAGTTCCTCAGGGTTCAGTGCTAGGACCAATTCTGTTTACACTATACATGCTTCCCCTAGGCAGCATCATTAGAAGACATAGCATAAATTTTCACTGCTATGCAGATGACACCCAGCTCTATCTATCTATGAAGCCAGATAACACACACCAATTAGTTAAACTGCAGGAATGTCTTAAAGACATAAAGACCTGGATGGCCGCTAACTTTCTGCTTCTTAATTCAGATAAAACTGAGATCATTGTACTCGGCCCTGAAAAGCTTAGAAATATGGTATCTAACCAGATTCTTACTCTGGATGGCATTACCTTGGCCTCCAGTAATGCTGTGAGGAACTTTGGAGTCATTTTTGACCAGGATATGTCCTTCAACTCACATATTAAACAAATATGTAAGACTGCTTTCTTCCATTTGTGCAACATCTCTAAAGTTAGAAATATCCTGTCTCAGAGTGACGCGGAAAAACTAGTTCATGCATTTATTACTTCCAGGCTGGACTACTGTAATTCATTATTATCAGGATGTCCTAAAAACTCGCTGAAAAGCCTTAAGTTAATCCAAAACACTGCAGCAAGAGTAATGACAGGGACTACAAAAGAGAGCATATTTCTCTTATATTGGCTTCCCTTCATTGGCTTCCTGTTAAATCCAGAATTGAATTCAAAATCCTGCTCCTCACACAAGGTCTTAAACAATCAGGTCCCATCTTTTCTTAAAGACCTTGTAGTACCATATCACCCTATTAGAGCATTTCGCTCTCGCTCTGCAGGCCTACTTGTTGTTCCTAGAGTATTTAAAAGTAGAATGGGAGGGAGAGCCTTCAATTTTCAGGCCCCTCTTCTGTGGAACCAGCTTCCAGTTTGGATTTGTGAGACAGACACTATCTCTACCTTTAAGATTAGGCTTAAAACTTTCCTTTTGTTAAAGCATATAGTTAGGGCTGGACCAGGTGACCCTGAATCCTCCCTTAGTTATGCTGCAATAGACGTAGGCTGCTGGGGGATTCCCATGATGAACTGAGTTTTTCCTTTCCAGTCCCCTTTCTCACTCACTATGTGTTAATAGACTTCTCTGCATTGAATCATATCTGTTATTAACCTCTGTCTCTCTTCCACAGCATGTCTTTATCCTGTCTTCCTTCTCTCACCCCAACCGGTCGCAGCAGATGGCCGCCCCTCCCTGAGCCTGGTTCTGCCGGAGGTTTCTTCCTGTTAAAAGGGAGTTTTTCCTTCCCACTGTCACCAAAGTGCTTGCTCATAGGGGGTCTTATGATTGTTGGGTTTTTCTCTGTATCTATGAAGCGCCTTGAGGCAACTTTTGTTGTGATTTGGCGCTATATAAATAAAATTGAATTGAATTGAATTATAGACACTGAACATCAAAAAATGTAAACATTTTAGTTTTAAGAAAGGCTTCTCTTACAGAGATGCTCACATTTTTTCTTTAAAAAAAATAAATAATAACTGGTAGAAACCAAATACATTTCACAATTGTATTTACCATTGCTGTAGTTTCATCTACCGTCAGCTCATCTAAAAAAGAAAAGAAAAAACAAACAACAGACACACACAAAAAAACAAACAAATGTACCAGATCAGTATACACACAATGCTTGGCGTGCTAACCATATTTAAATCATAAATATTTACGTTTTTGGTTTCAGCTGACCTTTTTTCAATGATTTGATTTCTTCTCTTCCTCCTGCTCCTGCTGCATTATCGTGATCCTCCATGTCATCAGCTTCTCATCTTCACTGTAGGTCTGTGTATCAGAGACGGAAAATACAAAAGTATTTATTTTTCCCTTGTGGAATGAAGGAAACTGTACCCACAGACACTTTGACTTTCTTTACAATTTCTATGCAGGATAGACCTACACTTAATTGTGATGGCCTGTCTCTTGCAATGTTAAATGCCTTTTTTAAAAAATGCTCATCACAGTGTGACTTTTAAAACCACTTCTGTCTGTGGAGGGAGTGGTGTTAAGTAATCAAGAAATGTTTGGACCCCTGTAGGAATTTGTAGCACCAACTTTGTAGGTTTGATCAACCTCCATTGCTGCAGAACAGCTTTAAGTTGTTCACCCAATTCTTTTTCCTTTAAAATGCCTTTTTGTATCATTTTGAAATATAAATTATTTTTCCATTGAGATGCAGATTAGTTCTGTTAAGGTTCTTTTCTTTGTTGGCATAAACTTTAACCACAATACAATCACACTGCCAATGTATTCATCAGAATGTAAATATATACAGTAAGAGAAAAGAATTGTGGGTAATTCTAAGAGTAATGGAGGATTCAAGTAAAGGGCTCGTGCTGGTTGTCCACGAGAATTAATCATTCTACTTTGTTGCCCTTTGTCATAAATGCAGATGCTGAAAAAAAGGGGCTGTGCCCAACCCGAACCTGAGACGACATTACACAGACGTCACACAAATAACCAGAAAAAGTAGTTTGTGACAAGCTCCAGCCACTGATATAACAAGACATTAGTAATAAAATGGCATATTTTATTTTACACAGCAGCTGTACCAAGGTGAGAAAACTGATAGGCAGATGACTGCACAGTGAACCATTAACCAGAATAGATTTCATTTCACTGAAAATTTATTAAGTCTGGGTGTGTAACAGTACAGCAAACATACAAACAGGTGTCAAGTTAAAGGAACCACCATGAAGTGTCTCAGTAAAGTGCTGCAACAGAATGTCGAGGCAGAGCAGTTTCAGTACTAAGGATGAGACATTCTATCAATATGCAATCGATTATACATTTCTAAGCATTACTGATTATATGTTTCTAAGCATAAATGACAATCCTCTTCATGCTAAATGTTAAATGTTGTTGAGGGTAAAAAGATGATCATTCTGAAAAACTTTATACTATACTTTAAAAATGACCCCTCCCTGTAAGAGAACAAATGGACCCAAGCCAAGCACTCAGACACCTGACAACATCCATAGCACCACCAGACCCCCTCACTTTAGAAATCAAAAGTTCCGTTTTTCTTTTAATTTGTAATCCTTCTTTACAACTCAAACACACAAACACACATTGCAGAAATTTTCAATTTGTAAAATTGTAGCTAGATCAAGAAAAACTGTCATGGCGGCTTTACCCTCATATGCCCTGCGTAGATGAGTAAGTGAAATCATCAGAAATTATTTCTCTTTTAACACATAATCACAGTGTAGTGATACATATAAGGATGCTAAAAAGAAAGAAAGAAAGTTGCATCTGGTCAGAAGGAAAGAAAAAACAACCTTGCAAGAGTTGGCCAGATTTGTACCAAATCAAAATAGATGCAAAGATATCAATGGTTACACCCTCATGTATGTTGTTTCACAAGACAAGATGAAATGGCTGATTTGTTCCTCTAACTCACAACAATTTTAATCTCTACATTTTGACTTTTTCTCAAAATAGAATTTTAACTTTTCTTTTTCTTTTTTTTTTTGTTAAGAGAGATCATTTATGCCAAGTCTGCTCCTAACAAACTCCTCTGCGTTGCTGAGAGGCAAATGAAGCTTTCGATCCTTGCATGAGTTTCAAGGCAGTGATGTCAAAAGCATAAGTGAAAGCATAACGGTTGCATCTCACGATTTCCAACACATCATGTGACTTAGAAGAAAGAGATGAGTTTGAGATACTAGTAACATCACTCAGAAACTGCCTAGAATGGATTGGGCATTTGTCTCCTACAACGCTGCATTAACTGTAAGATTTTGCATTAATCGCGTGTTAGAAATCTATGTAGTATTAAGAAAAAGAGTATTAGAAAAAATATTATTGATCTTTTTGATAATAAAGTAGAAATTTTGAGATTAAAGTTTGTAACAGAACCACGGCAGACCCGACCACATTTCCATGCTTTCAGCATAATCTTTATTGACACTCATGGTTGCTATAGCTACTTGCACGGCTGCAGCTTTTCAGTTCTGCCAAACACTCCAACAACAACAACCACAACAGTAAGAGCACAGACTTTGAGCCGGTGATGCGTGATTACGGATGCCGCTCAAGTGCGTCCCCCTTCCTTGTAGCAGCACCGCAGACAATGCCCCGCCACCCATTGCCCGACTGAGGCCGGGGAGCCATTCAGCCGAACTTGCTAAATGCGGATGCCGCTCAGGTGCGTCAACTCCCGCCACAAAATTGAAATATTATTTTGCGAAAAAAGTCAAAATGACAACAATCGTTGTTTCAAGACAAACTGCCAAGCTGGCTATACTCTCTACAAAATGCCTGCGTAGATGAGTAAGTTAAATCATCGGAAATTATTTCTCTTTTAGCACATAAACACAGTGAGGTGAAAGACGCTAAAAAGATGGTCAGAAGGAACAACAAAATAAACTTGGAAGAATTAGCCATATTTGTACAAAATGAAAATGCTATCAGTGGATAGATGTAAAGATATCAGTGGTTACACCCTTGGACATTTTGTTTCACAAGACACGATAAAACGGCTGATCAATTTGTTTCTCTAACTCACAACAACAAATTTAATCTCCACAATATGACTTTTTTGTTAAAATAGAATTTTTACTTTAATACCAAAATTTCGACTGTATTCTCAAAATGATCAACAATAATTTCTTTACTTAATGTGGCCCTCATACTCCGTATGGTGCTATATATTACCAGAACATTTTTTCGTTAGTAATCTTTATAAGCAAAACTAATGATCGCTGCAGCACACATACACACTACAAAAATATTACAAGTTAAAAATCAACTCACCTTTGCTTTTTTTCGATCTGGTTTTTATCAACGCAGCTTCCTTTTTATGAACCCTAACAGATGCTGTTTTTATAGAGAGAAACGTTATGCTGAGTCTGCTCCTAATAAACTTATCTGCTTTGGTGAGAGGCAAAAGACGCTTTGAATCGTTGCATGACTTTCAAGCCAGTGATGTCAAAAGGAAAAGTGAAAGTATAACTGGTCTGCATGTGTGGCTGGAATTTTCCATGAGGGCCCAAAGTTCTTTTCTTCTTTTTATATTGTTATTGGCAGTTGGCAAAAAAAAAAACCTCAAAGTGCATTGCTAGTATGGAGTGAGAACTGGAACGTCGCTCAAAAAAAAAAAAAGAAGAAGAAGAGTGTTGTGATATTTGATACCACGGTAGCATTTACAGGATATTGTTTTATACAGGAAAACTGTTACTCAATAAGGCCCATCTGCTAGTTGTTTTTCTCTTCTCTGTGACCCAAGAATTAATGTGTAAGACTCACAAGCTGGTCCCCCAAGGTCGAAAACACCACAGAGATGAGACCACTTCCTTACTCCATCCTCCCTTTTCTTTATCTCCTGGAAAAGGCTCGTTAGAGGCTAGGTGGTTTGTTTCAGAATTCACTAATGAAAGAACTCTGTATTTTATGTCTAGGAGTGTATTTTGCTGGGATGATCATAAATTGTAGCTGAACTGATAAACTACACAAGGGATACTTTGCTCAGAAGGCAGGAAGACGTTTCCTTATTTGGTCTGTACCGGTTTGAACTGGGAAAGCTGACACACGAACCTTTTTTCCTCTATATAAGCTGTTGTATACTTAATAAACCTTTGAGTCGATTGGGAAGGCAACCTAAAGCAGTCTCTGTTTTCTTGTTCTCCCAAGCTGCTCCCGAGCTCGTACTAACACGCTGAATGGCATACCTGAGTGTTACTTTAAATAATTAGGAATCTTAGAAGGAAAGGACAGAACTCTGCTTATCGCTCGTGCCTTGGAGGGAAAACCGGGATGGACATTTTTCCTTCAATCTTGGTGTCAGAAGTGGGATTACTGACAGAAGGTAAATATGCGTCTTTCATATTTATATAAAGACCGTATTATGCCTCTCTCAGTGATCGATCCATAAAGAAACGGGATATGCTGACGAAGTTTCACTTAGTGATCCAGAGAGATACACTGACGACTTCCTCAGTCCCCGAATAAAGTAAATTAACCCTTGTGTGGTGTTGGTGGACACAGGAAGTTGCCTGTTGTCTTGAAACGTACGTTAAAAAGTGAGAAGTTGCTCACTCAGAAAAAGTGACACAGGAAGTTGCCTGTTGTCTTGAATATTCTCATTAAGTGAGAAGTTGCTCACCAAAAGTGACACAGGAAGTTGCCTGTTGTCTTGAAACGCACGTTAAAAAGTGAGAAGTTGCTCACTCAGAGAAAGCTAGTAAATAATTAAATTTAATTTTGTTAAAAAAAAAAAAAAAAAAAAAAAACACGAAAGAAACTGAAAACGGGTCTCACAGACCCGATTACCATACAAGGGTTAAAAGCAGTAAATTAAAAGCAGAAAGACACAGGAAGTTGCCTGTTGTTTTACGAGAAGTTGCTCGTTAAGCGAGAAGTTGCTCGCTAAGTGAGAGTTGCTCACCCAAACAAAAATTGCTAGCAATAAATTTAAGTGACCTCAGCTGTGCCGCAGCGAAAATACTAACCTAAATCCTCCTAGCGTGTAAACCCCTCTGGAAATCACTGAACATGGGTCAGAATTATTCAAAGACCACAGACAGGTCCGATAAAAAATCTAAAGTACCTGTAAAACCAAAAATTAATAAAATACAAAATAAAGTCTCAAATAACGGCTCAGTATAACTCCCATTTCCGGTTACGTGTAACCTACGTCCGCGAATCGGTGAAGACGTCCATGATCACGTATCCAGAACATGCGGGAGGCTTATGTGACTGACTTTGTTTACAACTTACGGACTGTAAGTACAATGCATTCTATTTCTTTCGGAGCCCTATCCGAACGATTATCGCCAGAAACCAGGTCAGTAGAAATGTTGAATATCATTTGTGATAAAAAAAGTAGTCTGCTTAAAAAGTCCTGTAGAAAATATATGACAGAATGCCGCGACGTGATACATCAAATGTTACCACAATGGAAAAAGGGACCGGAACCAGTGTAGATGCTTTAACATCAAATAAACTAGTGCAGGCTCTAGCAAAGAACATAAACCTACCGCAGGAAAAGCTAGTCTTGCATGTTCAGCCGTTCAGCCTACAGCCCCACACCCTTACGATGAGACCGAATAATAGTCGCTGTAGCAGCTGCACGCAAACAATGTCAGCATTCTGATCCAACCAGCTCAAAAGAAAGCGACGAAAAATCTGAATCACATGCAACGGATCTTAGCCATCTCTTTAAACAGGATCAGAAAAAACAATATATACGCCGCAAGGAAGAATTAGCAGAACATAAAAAAAGAGAAAAACGTTTGAAAGAAGAATGTGAGGAACTTATGAAAAACAATTTAGACGACTATGAAGAAAAAACTTTTGCATCAGGCAGTGTCCACAATAGACACCCACATGAAACGCCACGATATCGTAGCTAGAGGTTTAGAGGTAGCTAAAGAAATACCTGTTACCCGAACTTTAATAAAGACTTATCTAAAAGGAAAAAGGAAAAACAAAGCCAGGATGACAAAGGTCCTTACGCCAACATTCGCGGTAGTAAACAAACAGACCTAGACCTAGAAAATCTAGTGACGTCAATGACACTTACCCCTTTATGATAATAGGAGATCAGTGTTGTATTCAGCCCCCTAAAATCTCAGAATTAGTGGCAACTATTAAAGAGCTTCCTGATCCTCTTAAAAATCCTACAGCCTTTGTCTCTGCACTACAGAGAAGTACCAGATATCACCATTTGGGTGGTCCGGATTACAGGTACATATTGTGTCAATGCATTCCTGGAGTAACCGAGTCACAACTCATAAGAGAGATAGGTGAATTAGACCCAAAGCATGATAAAGCATCCACAACTGCAGAGTTTTTGTGGGTAAATAATGACAAAATCACCAATTTCTTTAAGAATCTAAAGAAATTCCTGCTAACAATGTCCAGAGACAAAATTGACTTAAATGCAGTAACTATGTGTAAACAGAAGCCTGATGAATCTGTCCTAGTATTCATAAAACGCTTTATGCACTGTTGGACAAGCTAGAGGTGCAAATTTAGCTCAGTTTTCCAGCAGCCGCAGACACCCAGAGCAAAAATGAAGTTGTGTATTTCATTAACATAAAGTGTGAAATGTTTGCTGACACTGATAACAGCTTATGTTTCTCTGCCCTATGTACCGACATGATGGAGAAGGAACATCCTCTGTGTCAGCTGGACCCTCAGCAGAGAATGAACTCAACATCCTTTTTGTCCGGTACTCTGTGTCACACACTGTGCCAAAAAAACGTGTACAAATACAACAAGCCACACTTTTGTTTCTCTAAGGTCAAACAGTGATTTTGTTACATAACTCAGACATAGGTTACGATAACTAAACTATGTCAACACATAGATGTAACCTACCTTATATTGACTTTATACCTTAAATACAACAAGCCAGTATATGTCAAGCAACATCCCATTTCTGCCGAAAAAGCCGCAGCTCTAGATGTCATCATAGTAGATTTATTGACTACAGGAGTAATAAAGCCCACACTCCTGTCAATCCTGTGCCAAAGCCTAACAAACCTGGCGTATGGCGTTTCATACAAGACTTAAGGCAAATTAATGCAGTCAACATTCCTCTGCCACCTCTCGTTTCAGATGTTCACAGCATATTGACATGCATTGCATACACATTTTACCGTGGTGGATTTATGCTCCGCTCCTTTTTCTCAGTACCTGTGCATGAAGACACACAGCCGTATTTGCATTCACACATAGAAATAAGCAGTACACTTGGACTCGTTTGCCCCAAGGCATGATAGACAGCTCTGCTGCTTTCTCAATGGTGCTTCACTCCTCCAGGGCTGCACCCTGATCCACATGTGGATGACCACCTCCTCTGTGCTGAAAGTGAAAAACTGTGTCAAACTGCTACACACATGCTTCTCCAGCACCTCCAAAAGACTGGCCACAAAGCATCAGCAAAGAAAATGCAGTACTGTCAGACTTCTGTTCAATATTTGGGATTCACACTGTCTCACGGAAAACGTTCCATGGCTGCAGACAGGGTCAAAGCTGTGACCTCTGTCCCTCGTCCCACTACACAGAAGGAAATGTTGTCCTTCCTGGCATGGTGAACTATTGCAGACAGTGGATACCAGACTGTTCTTTCATGACCACATTCTGCGTGACTGTTGTAAAAAAGAGAAGCCTCCTCGAATACTGTGGTCCACAGAAATGACTGCCTCTTTCAATGCATTAAAGGGAGTGCTGACCTCCACCACTCAAAGGTGCTGCCTGAATTGTTCAGGGAATGCCGGCCTGCCTGAGGGCAGTAGCAGCTTGCTCTATCATGATAAGGGACTGCGAGAAGCTCACACTCTCACATGACACTATTCTATACACCAATCACCAGGTCACGACCATTCTAGCAAACATAACTACACAACATATGCAAATCTCACTATAAAAGCGAGCAGCACACCCAATTCGCCAGCACATTTATTGATCCTATGCTGTGTTCTTCTGACCGACAGGATGGCTCAGACAGGCTTGATGATCATGACTGCATGACACGTATACAGGAATCCACAGCACCACGTCCAGATTTAGAGCAAACACCTATCCCAGACTCAGCCACGGTTTATGTGGACGGGTCCTGTTCAAGGCCGAATGACAACTCATTTCTTTGTGGCTATTCAGTGTAACAGTGCCTGACATCATACTAGAGGCTCACTCATTACCATTTCACTCAGCACAAAAAGCAGAGCTCATGGCTTTAATACGCGCCTGTGAGCTCCATTGGATAAGCGTGTGACAATTTACCAGACAGCCGCTATGCATTTGGCGTTGTGCATGACTTTGGCACATTGTGGAGACAAAGAGGATTTAGATCTGCTGATGGAAAATAGATTGCTAAATTCTGATTTTGTTCAAAGACTTTTTCAGGCTATACAGCTACCATCGGCCGTTGCAGTTGTAAAAACGAAAGGACACAGTACGGCTGACACAGACGAAGCGACAGGTAATGCCTTAGCAGACGTGACAGCCAAGGCTGCAGCTGCATCACAGCTCCCACCTCCGCAGGAAGTATTATCTGTGCCCCTACAGCTGCCACTTGTTACAC